CCACGGAAAAAATGTAGCTACTGTAGTCAACGGCAAAATACGAAATGTGAATTCAAAAGATCATTTTGCGAGTCCAGAAAGTCGCAGTTCGTCATAAATTTTCTCGTCGTATCATTTAGTTTTGCTGAGTGAATTATATCTCTCGTCTCGCACAATGTGCATCACCAACACGGTGGTCACCTTGGCTTGCTAGCTTGCTAGGTAACTTCGCTAAATCCATAAACAAATGCATCATCTTACCTGATGTGTTCTATCCAGTGATACTTTTTATCAGCCGGGAAGCGAAAGAACGAGCAAGACCCGTTGTTGGTGTGAGCAGCGTTACATCAGAGTACGTAGCTTCAGCGAGATACGTCACTCACGCCACTGTTGGGTGTGTAGTCTTTCTAATTACGTATTTTCGTGTTACTCTGCAACAGTTTTGAAACAAAATGCGGCTTCTTGATGTGCAAAAACATCTTTTGAATTAAGTAAAATCGTATGTGCACCTATTCACAATTCAATGCATGACAAAGTCCCCACAAGTATAGTAGAACAAGGGTGTGTGTGTGTGTGTGTGTGCCAATGCTGATCGGAAGCAGGGGTGGACGTTCACAGCTCCTCTCACCTTTAGACAGTAATTAGGACGGGCATGTGTATAATGTTGCGCACACACAGGATTTTATGGTAACTGCCTGGGACTGAGCATGTCATACGTTTACTATTAGAGCTGATGTGCCTTCAGGGGAGCTATTAGGGCAGTTTAGACTTGTTCAAAGTGTGTCCAATACAGGTGGAGACAACATTATTTATGATGAATTACTGATGGCGTTTGGATTTTAAGGAACAGGTTAGACACCTGGCATTAATCTTCATCAATTTGTTGTGCTGTGCATGTTTAAGTCTCAGCGGCCCTGTGCTGTGCTGTGTGTGTGTGTGTGTGTGTGTGTGTGTGAAAGTGCCGCTCTGATGCACTGTACTGCTGTCCCCGTTTGCCAGGTGGCGTTAGCGTTGGCGTCTAAGACGGAGCGGGCGGTGCAGGTCGCCTGCGAGTCCGGCCAGTACACCACCAATGGAGAATGCTGCGAGGATTGTCCACCCGGAGAGGGAGTGGTGAAGAAATGTGGCTCCACGCAGACCGTCTGCTCCCAGTGTTTGGACAGTGAGTGGAGACTTTTTATTAAGTTATAGAGTTAAAAAGTTAAGACGACTGTGCACTCTGATCAATGAAAACACACTGGTACCGCTTTCTGATAAGGCATACAGGCTTCATAAGTTGTAACAAATAGTTTATTAATGGTTGACATTTATAAACAATGTATTATGAAATATGGAACAAACTCGAACTAACCCTTTGTTAATGTTATTATCATTTATAACTGCAGACTTTCTACCAAATAATAGAAAATAACAGACAGGAGTCAAACTGGCAACAGAAAAGTTGTTTTAATGTCTTATAAGTAATCTATAATAAAATCATAGTGAGTTATTTATTAACTATTAATAAAGCTATTAGTTACAATTAGGATGCTATGTAATTCACATATTCACAATGCAACACCAAAGTTTATTTTGGCGAATAGTTTAGCAATAAACAGATTCTCCTTTCGAACAATAGCAACTTAATTCAGTCGAATCTTACTTGGCAACCATCTCCCTTCCATGTGATAAAACATTAACAGTAGTTACAAGTTATAAACTGGTCTAATTGGAGCGAACTGACCCTTTAATAGCAACTTTAACACTAAAAATGCTAAAAACTTGACTTTACAGAAACCCCACTTCCTGAAATGTGTCGCGCGTAAGAGCATAACATTCAATCTGGAGACAATCAAAATACAGTGTATACACATGTAAGCTGCATGTCCTCACCAACATTACACGCGCTCACACCCGATTAATGCAAAGTTTCTGCACTTTCTTCATTTATACAAACACATTCACTTGCTGAGCCTTTGATGGCAGCTCCGGCCCTGAACTCCAAATGAAAAGAACGCTGAAGCCAAAACAAACTCATTTTTGTCCAATTTGTACGAAGTGTCTGCTTGCCCTCATCGAGTATCCTAAAGGAATAAGATAGGAATTCATATGTTTGATGCTCGTAAGTGGGTCCAAATGTGTTCGCTCGCAGCTCATCCCGGGCTGTGAACCATTAGCGCTCGCTCTACAGAGGCTGGAGAGGCGCCAACCAACAGCGCAACATCCCCGAGAACGACGAGGACAAGAAGAGCCGATGCTGCAAAACAAATGTGTCCTGCTCGATTCCTGGTTGTCTTTCTGCGTCACATTCCTGCAGCTCTTTTTGCCCTTTAAGATGCTGGTGCGTGTCAGAGCGCAAAGAAAAAAATGTCAAAGTATAGGTCACGAACATCGCTGCATAGTTCAGGAGGAAGCTGAAGTATCGCAACGAGACAAACGCCGCACGTCTTCCTCCCTTTTGAAAGCTCGCGCTAATCCTGTCAGTTTTGAGACTTTGCAGGGACCGACACTGAGCAGAAACCCCCAAATTAGTCTTGTTGAGACGTTTGGAGTGCACTTTCCGTCCAGCATTGATTGCATTAATCCACTCACACACATGCCACATGTAAACACTTGCAAATGGTGCATGTAAACAGTGTTTAACACCGAAGTACAATAACGTCAACTGGATGTCGTTTTGTGATTAAACTCAGGCTGGCAGGAACGCTCTTTGTCCAGAGGAAAGTGAGACTCTGATTATCCTTGAACTTTCTTTGCACAACAAATGCTAATCTCTGTGTTGTGTTATGTTATTAAGAATCTCAATGTCTGGTCTGATTTCACCTCTTTGAAGTTTCTATTCTTCGCCTCGAGGAACTCGAGAGCTGCAGCGATGGGTTCAGGGTCAGAAAGCCAATTCTCTACATCTAGAGCGCGACTGTGCCACAGGGTGAAAAAAAAGAAAAGAATAAGAAAAAGGGCCGAGAGTCAATTTCACAAAAAACCAACTCTGTCAAACTGTCAATGTAGAAAAGGTAGTGCCGTGAAATTGGCAAAAATGGGTTTTTGTGCAAAAAATAAAAGAGACAAACAAAGCGGGCTTGTCGTGCTTTGCATCGGTGTTAAAAATCCCGTCTCACCAGTAGATGGAGAGTGAGCAGGGCGATTAACAGTCATCGTCAAACATTGCCTATGACAGACTGGAGATGGACATCGGTTGAGTGAAGTAGCCTGGAGTCTGTATAGAAACACGCTGCAGCTTCTCAAGCGTCTCTATCCTTAGTTTGACGTCATGAGGAATTTTCCTCGCATGTCATATTCCTGTCGTCAACAGTGGCCGACAATGCGTGGATGGGAAACCACAGCTCCATTTTCCTATTATGTGGGCTGGCCCTCAGGATTCTAGTTCTTTTTTTGTCATTTATTCCTCATCCCACCAACTCTAGTCGTGTCACCTCTTTTCTCCATCCTGTACTCGCTTTTCTCAGCCAACACCCCCCCCCCCTCCTCACTGTCGCTATGACTCATCGTCTGTATTAACGGATAAAATGGTATTAGAGAGCCAAGCACCAAAGGGCACGATAGCCTCATTCATCATGCATACTGTTACATCAATGCATCTTTACTCCTTTGATCCAGCTAATTAAACCATATTGAAAAGCCTATTGTGCCTCTTATCAGAGAACAATTATCTTGCTCTGCAGCATAGGAGTGGTATTCACCGCTGATAAACACTCAACAATTAAGCTCAAATACCCAGGAGGTTGCTCTCAATTTCCAGTGCGAATGCATTTTCCTCGGTTTCAATATTGTTTTTGTTTTAGCAGATAAAATCTGAACGTACCTGAGGCCCACAGGAGCACACACACACACACACACACACACACACACACACACTCTACAATAACTCTCAGTCCGATTTATATAGAAGTTAGAGGCTGAAACACTGACCTTATTTGGAAAACCAAAGCTATGAATACATTTTCTAAAGTGCAGGTTTTAATAATTGAAGAGGAGAATGCAACACATCCATTTCCTGTTTCATGGTAAATATGGGTGAATATTTATTTACCACGACCCCCCTTAATTCCCCACTTCCTGTCAGTGCAACCCCCCCCTTCATGGCCTCCCGATCCCAGCTTGGGATGAATGCCAACGTCAGCAGCGCTGAAATATTTATCAGTCTCTTCCACTTTTCGCCGCCGTCATGGGAGACAAGACAACCGGACCTGCCTCACTTAGTGAACCATTCAGAAAAGGTTGCCCCTGCAAACTGACTGAAGATCTGAGAGAACAAAAGGCAGAGCCTCACGAGGCGAAATAGCGTTTAAGGAGAGCTGCTGGCCGACTGGACCGGCGCTCACTGGGGATTTAGGGGAAGGAAGGAAAGTAGAATCACAACCTCGTCTGGTGAGGGCTGAAACAAGAGCGCCAAGAATTGCTTCCAATGGTGGATCAAGAGGGATGAAGAAAAGGAAAATGGAGATTTCCCCCAAGCAGGTCCTCTGTGGCGGTTTCAGACGAAGCTACGTCCTTACATGGCGCCCTAACGTGGCATAAAAACAACAGCTCAGCACAAGATGCAAAAAGCAACGGTCGTTTGTTGGATCAAACTTCCCTCCTTTGGTCTCCTAATAATAGCTTTGGCGGTATCCTAAAACACCTGTTTCAAATCTGGAGGCAAGCTAAGTGGACCAATGAAGCGCGGCGATAATTACACACAAAAATGTTTCACGTTCAAAAAGACAAATAAAGCCGTCACGCAGCTTTCCAAATGGTTTATCCACAGTCAACGGAGGGTCGGGAGGAAAATGGATCCTCCACTGAAAGGTGGACCCCGACACGGCAGAAATGGCCATCGTCGCTAAAAGCTTACACCTTAAGTGCTGATTGTGGAGCTCATCGGGCAGTTTCAAGGCCGTCCAGAGCTACATTATTGATGACACTAATGGGACCGAAACACATCTGCGTTTGGAGGGGGGGTCTTCCCGGGCTGAAGTGGCACATTCTAAGTGCATCATCCCAACATCTCCCTTTTGCTATTAATGTTTTTTTTTTTTACTGCCGAACATGAAAACTTCGATTGCTGAGATGAACTGGTCATCGCTCAGTTGGGGACAATTAGGAAAAAGGATCATATCTTATTAAAGAAGACACTCTCCACCGGATCCTCGGTGGCCTTTTACTTTCTTCTTACAGCCCCTAGATGAAAGCGCAGACACATTAACTTACACGCACACAAACCACACACACTCCTCTCGGTCGCATTTAGACGTGTTTACACACACACACACATGGACTGGGAAGGGGCTCATGCATGCAAGTTAAAATTAGCCAAGGAAGCCTGCGCGCTGTGGGATAATTGAAATGAATGAGCAGAGCTCTGCCGGTTGAGCCTGACTGCAAAGAAAAACAAAGGCTTCAAGCTCACTAATTCAAATAATCATTAACCTCTCAGGCCCGTTATTTGTCCGTGTCTGGATCGTTTAGTTGGTGTCGCTCTCTTTTATCACTTCTGCCTCCAGACAGTAATAAGAGCAAGGGGTGAAGCCAGGTAGAGAAGAGATAAAACACTAAATCAGATGGTGTGTGTGTGTGTGTTTCTATCTGAGGAGGAAACTGAACTCACTTACATCCCTGCCTGCTCCATTTCCCCTTCCATCAACACTTTGATTTCTAAATCATGTTTTTTTGGGCTTCTCGCTCGCCAGCCCACCCTCACAGACCGTTTCCCATCAAGGCAAACAGTCACGAGATTCCTTCGAGCAAATCAAGCGCCTCCCCCCCCCTTACTCGTTGGTCTGCTCCCTACCTGTCTCTATATCATTACCTCCGTCTGCCTGCAGAATGTGACAGCTTCCACCGTCGGCTTCTAAGCCGCGCTGCTGTTTACAAGGTGTTTAGAGCTTCCGTCTGTGCCAGCGTTTCGCTTGCCAGAGCCGCTTACAACGCAAAGCAAAGTGCTGGGACATTGCTGCAGGGCTTTTCACACTGACAATATGCTGCAGCTCAACACGACACCCACTAAGCACTTCCCATGGAACACACACTCAGACACATGCGTACGCTGATAAGAGAGGAAAAAAAAGTCTCACACGCAGTCTTGTGGCGATAATTATGGTTACACCCAGTCCGGATGATTTATTTCACGCTGAGACGAAGAAAGTTTAACCACTAAGGACATTTCAAAACCAGTGTTAACCTGCTATCTGCTCCACGTTGTGAAATAGAGAGTGACAGAAGCAGTGAATGTGTTTCGACATGCATTCTTATCTCTTCATCTCACATTGTGAAACCTGGATGGATGCTAAACGTCCCGCTGCACTTTGACTCCCCTCTAATGTTCTCTGCATGCAGCAGGGAGTAGAACGTCACATGTTGCATCTGAGCCGTAGATTTATTTCCCTGTCAGCCTCTCTACTCCACTCCCATCTCAGTCAACCACTAAAACACACTCACTGCCTCCCCACTGTATGCATAATTCAGCAGTCATCCAATTATAATGGAGAATACTTCTATATGAACATGTAATATTGATAGATTACTTTGAGCCCCCAGGAACTCTCAGTGTAAGAATAAACTAATTTGACGTCGTCACTTCCTCGGCGATGAACTCTCCTGAATCCTCCCGATGTAAACGTTCCTGGAGAGCAAATCTGAAGTGTTTGAAGTAATTAAAAAGCAGCAGGCAATTAAACAGCACGACTTCTACCTCATTCTGTTCAACACAATTCAGCTGTAGTCTGCCATCTCTTCTTCTCACAACCCTTCAAAATAATATCAATATAATGCAGTTGAGTTGTTCTTTGTAATGGCCATTTTTTTTTTACATCCTTACAGAAAAAGGACACAGTCAGTTTGCAGATCGACATTTGCCCGTCTGAGAAGTGCAAACCCTGTGAAGGGTTGAACAAATGTTTGACACGAACCAGAACTAAAACATACTTTTTAGCCATGCAAGCACTCATAGTCTGGATGCATTGAAATAAAGAAATGTACAAACATTCATGATCTACAGATGATAAAGTCAATAACCTCTTTTTAATTATCTAATGTTAGAATGTTAACACGCTAAACTAAGAGAGTGAAAATGTTGAACATTATACCTGCTAAACAGCAGAATGCTAGTCACTGAAAGCATGTTAGCATGCTAACATTAGCATTCATGCAGCCTCACCGAGCTGCTAGCATGGCTGCACAGTCTCCATTCACACTCATCTACTATTGGAACTCTGATACTTGCTAATGCTAATAACAATGCTAATTGAGTAGTATCAACTAATCAGATGCAATAAATGTTTGAGGTAGTTATTGGTCCTAATTATTATATGAATAAAAATTCTACACAAGAAAAGTAAACCCTTATTATTTGCAAATTAAACAATTCAAAATATCGTTTTTTTTAAACAAATATTTCTCTTTTGTACAAATGGGACTAACATCAGTAGATTCAACGGCAATGGCTGCTTGACACTCTCTTAAGTCTACACATACACCAGAGTAATTGCTTGATCACTTGGGTATACTAAACAAGGCTTTATCATCAGCGTGAGCATGTCGATGCACCTGCACTTCACTCTGTGTGTATGACTGAGATTAAAGCAGTTTACTCGGCGCAGCACAAACACGTTGGGATCAATATCGTAATGAGCACAGCAGGCTTTTGACTCGCTCCCCGACAAGAGCACCTTTCTTGTCCCGGAGCACAAATCACTAAGAGACCAGTGGATCAATGTGTCCTCCCTTCTAATGAATGTGCAGTAAACACGATTAATGTCATTAGACTCACTGGTTATCCCTCTGTTTATCCCCTCATATTTCCTGCTCTCCCTCTCTCCTTCTTCTAACCTCCTGTGCTCTTTGCCCCTTCTCTCGTTTCCTTCCTCTCCCTTTTCCGTCTCGTCTCCTTCGACCTGTCCTCTCATCCGCAGGTGAGACCTTCTCAGAGGACTACAGTCTCACAGAGCAGTGCCGGCCCTGCACCGAGTGCACCGGCCTGATGCGGATGGAGACGCCCTGCACCGACTCCAACGACGCCATCTGCGTCTGCAACTACAACTTTTTCTTCGACGGGATATTGGGCCAGTGCGAGCCGTGTACGGTGTGCCCGGTAGGCCAGGGCGTGTACTCGCACTGCGAACACGATCACGACACGGTGTGCGAAGAGTGCATCGACGATACCTACTCGGACCGGGAAAGCTCCCTGGACCCCTGCCTGCCCTGCACCATCTGTGATGAGGACAGTGAGATACAGCTGTCTGAGTGCACACCAAACAGGGACTCCGTCTGTCACGGTAAGTCTGCCACACACACACACACACACACACAGAGGACACTATCACACCTTTAGTTCAGCAAACTCCAGACCACAGAAAAGAAAGGGATGGTATTGTTGTCTGACTTATTACACACAAACCAGGAGGGGTTAACAAGAACTCATATGACTGACGTGTACATCAATCATTTTGGGTGACGGTCATTGTTTGTCATCAGTGTCACATAAACTCGGCTACTACTTTGACGGTCAATTTATCGAAGTAGTATTTTTCCAAGCACAAATGTCTCTAAACATGATCATCTGCTTCCAGCTTCTGAGCATTTTTAGGTTTTAATTAAACTGTCGGTCGGACAAAACAAGTGATTTGAAACCAAACAATTTTTCGATTCATTTTGAAAATAATCATTAGTTGCAGCTCTAATTAAAACAAAGTCATGCTGCACAAATTACAGGTTTTCTCTGGTGATCACAAAGAGCTCATGAAGAAATATGTATTTATTAGTTATTATTAGTTAAGCCTGCAACTGGACCTGCCCTGTCATAAACAATGACTGACAGCCAGAGAGAACAAAAACAAAGCTGTTTGTACTCCGACATAATGAGGGACAGTTGCTAGTTACATGTGGTCACTGCAATTTAATTAAGCAACTCCATAAATAAAGTAGATGCTTTTCAAGCCGTCTTGTTGTGGTTGTTTGGTCCGTATCAGAGTTCAAACGACAGCGTTCCCACGAGCCAAACAGCCAAATCCACCGGTTTGTTCCAACAGCGACAGAATGGTAAGCAGTGACAGCACCCTCCAAAGAGATCAAGAGCAGAGCACATAAAGCGCACTGGCTGTCAGGAGTTTCAAAGCTGTTTAGGAGCCATCATATATGTCTCACTCACATTGGAACCAGCCTCCAGTGACTCCCGTATGCGTCTGTGGGAACAAGCTAAGGTCAGAGGTCTGTGTCGGTCATGTTTTCAAGTTGAAAGTTGCAGCATTAAAAAGGTCAAAGACTACTGGAGCGTCAACACAGAGACAATGAATAATCTGCTCTCCCACAAAGCAGAAGGAAACACACAAGCAGAGTCGAGCTGCTCGTCTCGAGTCGAGGCAGCTTATAACCAAGGAAGCTGTAAATTCCCTCGTGCCGGACGGGGCGTGAAATTGACCTCATCAGGGGGCCACGAGGCTCAAATCTGGGAGGTAAAAATGTCTTCCGTGGCATTGCTCTCGATTTCCCTAATAAAAACCTATTGATTTTTAAAGCAATATCAAATAAGGGAGGAGTGCAAAGTGAACTCGAAACAAAAACAACCTTTTCTCAACAACAGCCCCGACTTCAGTGGAAGTTTGTGGTCATTGTCTGTTCCGGTGAAAAGCACTTTTCCTTCCATGTGAGCCACAGAGGCACTTATACGTTGCGGTGTGATTAAATGCTTTGACGAAAGCGTTTAATAGCAGGAGCACTAATGTAGGGCATTTATCGATCTGCTGTGTGCATTATAATCATTAAATGAACATCGTAATATTCTTGTATGAATGTTGGGATTTATGCTGCAATATTTCTCTTTCCAAGGCCGACTCGGTTTGGGATTTTAACGGCATATAAACGCTGTGGCAGGTATTTGGATCCACAAAGTTAATGAACCTCAAGAATCTGTCAACACCCTGTTGTAGTACAGAGGATGTGTCAGCGGCACATGGAGGGTGTAAATTCCTGTTTTAATAGAGTGTAACAGCACTGACAGGCAGCGGAGTAATGGACGAGGGAAAGATAAGAGCAGGAGCGGTAGATGAGGTGGAAGAAGGGCTAATAACATAGACGGTGATTTACCACCTTTCCTTCCACGTGTACCAAACATACTCAAAGGCGGAACATTCAGACTTTTATCATCAATGAATCATCATCAGTTCATTTTGAACAGAAGCAAGATCACCTGTGGTGTCGGCTTGGCTTAGCCCTGCATCTTAAATCAGGTCAAGTTTAGCAAGAAACCTGTGGGATTTATTTACAACAGGAAGAGAAAAGGACAAAGTAGATATTGTTCCAGCAAAAACGGAGAAATGCTTTTTTTTTGGTGCAGTTTTTTTTGTCATGATGAATGATGGCAATGTGAAGCCTCCCTCTGCCTGTTCGGTCCAGACTGAAGTATTTGAGCACATATTAAATGGCTGTAGGCTCTTCTTCTTGTTTACAACTTTACATGATGGAGTGGAGTGGAAAGATGATGCAAAATACCCAAATTGTCCTTTGCACCTGGAAATGTCCACATCTGTGCCAGCTCAAGCTTTTTTTGTTTTTATAATAGAAGCAAGGACATGAGAAAAAAAAAAGAAAAAATCACCCCTGCAGTATTCAAACTTTCTGAATCATGCAAGAAATTCGAAGTTGGAAGCTCTGTAGAAGTGCTGGAAGCAAGTGTGTGAACCAAATTTCACATGGTGAGATGCCAGGAATGACTATTTTTTCCTGCTTCTTGCACAGTCATGTAGAAGTCTAGTGAATGTTCCTCGGAGGAAGATATGTCCACTCTGAAAGACCCACGAGGCTGTAACGGGACAGGACGCACAGCCATAAAAAGAAAAACTGCCCCCTATGCTCCTTAAAACAAGCAGAACATCGACTGTATTCGAGACGTATCTGATGTACAGTAGGCCTTTAATAAAGCCTTTTGCTGCCCATTTAGCGCCCACCCATGCAGCCGGTCTCACCTTTGACCCGCCTCGTCCTAAGCGATAGCAATGTAGCGGCAGTCACGGTTGCGACTGGAGATGGCACGATAAGTGACCTTGTGGGACGTCCGTTTGAAAGGAGAGCCCTGTCATGTTGCACCAGCGGGCCTGTGGGCAATGGCTGTATAGTCGCATGTGGTGGTGATGATGTTTCCAGGCCTTCCATGGTGGTCTATGATGCATGCAGATATGTTTTCTGCAGCAAACAGGAAGCTGCTCGCTGGGATTCTCATCCTGGGGATTTAAATCAAATCCTTTGCATTTGGTTGGACTTCTAAGAAGTGTGGGCGGGCTTATAGTGTAGCTAATTCAACACACACACCTCCCTTCTTGCCAAACGTTGCAGATTGATTGATGGACGCCTTGATATTATTGGTTGGAATGGTCAGTACTAGCTTATGTTTGAACATGTCATACTTTGATTTACAAGTACAAATTGGAATTTCATACAAAAATACAAAGAAATTGATTCTTTGTAACTTATTTGCATAAATTCTTAAATTTGTGCACAATATGATCAGCAGTGGTTTAAAATGTTTTTTTTTAAAAAAAGGCTTCATTTCATCTAATTCCCATCCTGCTGTCTCTCCCGCTCTCTTTCTCCTGCATTCAGTAAAAAGATGTGATTGGGGTATTTTCAAATCCCTAAATCCCCAGTTCATATCAAGCTGTCACTGAGTGTCAATTACTTGATACAATCAGGGACAGAGAGAGAGGGCGAGAGAAAGAAGCGGAGAGCTGCAGCATATGTGCTGTGCTGGTATTCTATGCTGAGGGGTCGATTCGAGTCCTGGGATTTCTTCTGCTCGCGCTCAGGTTTCGCTGAATGACCTCTATGAGCACACACCGTCGACTGCAGGACACACACACACACACACACACACACACACACACACACACACACACACACACACACACACACGCGGTCCTCTTCAGCTTCAAACTCACAATGAGTCACATTTTCATGAGCATCCAAAATCAATACCGCTGATAGCGGGATAACTTGGCGCGCACACACGCTCTCTTCCCTCTGCCAAGTGCGCTTCAACATCTACATTTTTCATTGAACTCCGGACACCGCACATGTGTGAATCTCTTTGATCTGAAATTGAAAACACCTCCTGCGTCTTTTATCGAAAGTCTCCGTCCGTTTGGCCTCGGCAGAGTTTTTTCTTAAAAGGTGCTGTTCAGTCAACAGTTGAGAAGATTTCCATTTCAGTATTGAGGGTCTGTTCGAGTGTTTGTCCTCGAGAAAAAGAGAAGAAAAGATTAAAAAAAAAACAGATAAAGGAAGAGTTTTTATTCTCTTCATTACCTCGCTCATCACACTCACCCCTCCTCCCTTCATTGCTCTCTCTCCCCCTCTCTCTCCCCCTCTCTCCCACCCCCCCCACACAGTGGCCCTCGAGTGGCCGGGCTAGCGAAGTGGTGGAAGTGTGCATTCAGCGCCTTCACCGCTGCAGTATAATTACTCCTGCTAATCAGAGCACTTTACAGCAGCTCCTCTGTTCATCTGCACCCCCCTCCTCGCTCTCTCCGAACACTCTGCCTCTCTGTCTGCCCTCCGCTCCGCTCTCCCTATTAACCCTCCGTAATAGAAGACAGAGAGCTCACTTGAATAATTTGTCGTGTGGGTGTGTGATGGATGTGCGCGCGTCCGGCGACAAACACAGGGGAAGATTGAGACCGAGGCTGAGCTGAGAGAGACGGAGTGTTTGGCGGCTGATAAAGAGGTCATTGTGCATGTGCCCGATAGCTGCTCATCTCCACCCTGAACTGGCAGAAGCCGAGACACCAACCTCTGCACTGGACCCCGGGGTTAACTTCACCATAAAGACCTCAATAGCTCATAAAAATTAAATCTTTTTTTTTCTCCCCCCCCTCTCGTCCACACCCCGCTAATAAACACATCTCCCTGCGCGCACACAGCCCCACGCTCGTAAAATCCCGGGCTAGTTTTATTTTGTTTCATGAGTGTTTTAAACCCACTGAAGCCAAAATGAAATTGTTAAAGCTCCACCGCCGCCTTTAAGCTCCCATTCTGTTCCAGCTGAGGTATGCAGCCTCTGGAGGCCCAGGTTTATCCTTTGGTCTACAGCCAGTCGTGTTTTCTACATCAGGCCAGAGAACTGGAGAGGAAAGAGGGGGAGTTACGATAAAGACGTCGTACACTGTACTTAAGCTGCAGCTCTGTGTCGAGTCAGTGTTATGTGAAGCAGACTCCCAGGAGAGCTGTCATCTTGGCTCAGACCGAGAAAGACAATTTACGGCGAGTCCTGAGGTGCGACTGATGCATAACTACATCTGCATGAAGAAAACAGTCCTTGCACCAAAGACGGGCACTAACGGCAGCACCGGATGAATGATATCTCAGTGTGTGGTAAAGGAAAGGCTTTTTTGACAAACCAGACCGCCTGCACACTTTCACACCTCCCCATTCACAATTTATCCTATTTTCAAGCTCGTGTTGCATTGCTAATACCATTAGCCGGGCCGTGCATTAGCTGGATGATGTATAGCGGAGCTGAGGAAACCTGACTACATCCCAGGAAAGGTCAAGAAACGCATGTAATACAGACACCGATGTTCCACTCCTCCGAGCGCGCCCTCCTTTTAGACAGATCCGAATCAATAGCACCCGCTGTAAATATCCCTCTGCATTATTTCTGTTTCTAAGTACGGCACGCACATGTGCTGTATTTTTCTGTCCGTGAAAGATGCTTTCTAGCATTTCAGTAAACTAATCCCCCCTCCGGGAGGCAGGAATGCCCCGTCATCACCGCGCAGACGCAGAGGCCAACGTGGACGCTTAACGCCCAGCAGAAGGGTTTCTTTTCAAATATGTCCACATAAGCTGCCCATCAAGGTCCCATCGGAGTATTAAAGCGAGTAACCGTGTGTAAATTATGCAACAAATCAATGTGTAGAATCTTATCTGCAGTGCTAGCCTACAGTAGATGCCATTGGAGATAAAAGGAGAAAATACATTTGTGAGAACCGACCCTTTGAACCATTTCTCAGTTTCAAAAATTTCCGCCACGCTTTAAAATATACAAGTAATGAAGAATAGAATGTGGTTACATTACAAGACAACGTGTTAGTAATCCGATTCCCTGTCTGTAATAACCGTATTGGGTTTATCCATCACACTGACAGAGTTAAACCCCTAAAAGCAGAACAGTTGTAAAGAAGGATGACCCCAAACATGTATATATAGAGCGTGCCGGTCTTCGGCCTTGAAGGAAGCCTCGGGAGTCTCCGCAGGGTTAATCCTGCGAGCGCCAGTACGAAGCTAATGAGGAGCAGCCTGAGGTTCTGCTGGGAATTACAGGCTCAGATCTGAACCAGGCTGCACATTCTCCATCCCCACCAGGCTGCTGAGCTCAGAGGAGTTTTGGCGTTGGCTGGACAGGCCCTCTCCTCGGCCTGCTGCACTATACCCTGAGGGAGGGGACTAATCTGCAGACTGCTCTTTGAGCCTTTCTACCATCTGACAGAATCACTGCAGTTTTAGTTAAAGCACTCTTCAAAACGAGTATAATATGACAGGTCTTGTAGGAGAGATTTGATGGATAAACTGTGTTTTCAAGGACAAGTCATGCCCATCAGAGTGGGCACGGGGCTGCTGCAACGTAGGAAATTACACTGAATCATTAATAGAGCTGACGAAGAAAGCGGAAATAGGACAGTTTATGAAAATGACTGTTCTCTCCAGGCTTTGCTATGATAGAAACCAGACACATCCAGTAGCACGGAGCCTTCCTGCCTCTCTGGCCTCAGCAAAGGCTACACTCAAAGTGATGACCTCTCTAAAGCCCCGGACTTTGTTCTACATTGATCCATATGGCCTTGATGTCATGCAATGTGCAGAGATCCCCAAAGATGGGGATGTGGTGAGAAGAGACCTGGCGTGCAGGGCCTGTTGTGGGCTGGTGGTGGGTGACGGATATTTGCCCCCCCTCCCTCGCCGAGGAACATTCCTTCTCTTTCTGCACTCAGCAACTCAGCCAGAACCCATCTGTCTCATCAGAAACAGCTGCCGCATGTGTGCAGCGTAGAAGACATCTGGTTGGGGACTTGATCACTACACCCCAACAAGCAATGTTGGTCCATCACTTTGGCCCAGACGCAAATCTCTCAACAATTACTGGGTGGATTAAAATGTTGTACCGACATTCACGGTCCCCAGAGGATGAATCTTAACAACTTTGCTGATCCTCGGAATTTTTTCTCCAGCGAGAGAAAAAGGTTGACAGGAACATGAATCATCATAACATTCGGTACAGACCGTCATGTTTCCGAGGATGAAATGTACTGTCATTACTTTGGTGAAGTACACTCAACTAAAATGGCGAACATGGTTAACATTATAGCTGCTTAAAGAACATTTACTCAAGTCCCGTACTTAAGTACAGTTTTGAGGCACTCGCAGAGGTGCTAGCGTGGCTGCAGACGTAAGTTATTTTGTTTCTCAGTCGTATCAAGGCGTGTTTGTTTTCTCACAGATGCTCCCTTTTCTCCCACACAGATCCTCTCCTCCCAACATATTTTGCTCCCACCTCCGATATGGGCCCGTCTCCACCCTCCTTCACCAATTACTTCCTCCCCGACGGCTCAGACGGCCCGGTGCCTGGAGAGACGACCACGTCCAGCGCTGGCTCTCCGCGCTTCCTCGGCCACGGTCTCAACGAAAACCTCATCCCCATCTACTGCTCCATCCTGGCCGCCGTGGTGGTGGGCCTCGTGGCCTACATCGTTTTTAAGAGGTCAGTTGGTAGAAAATAACGAGAGGAGAAGCTGCTGTGCGCTAAAGACATCAACACAATTGGGTTTTTGCACATCATCCACAATAAAATCTAGGACAAAGAGGGTGATGGAGATAGTGGTCTGGTGGGTGGTGTTGGACTGTGACAGATGTTGCCCCGGGCGAAAATTTTTTAGTAAGGTGCCTGTTGAAATATTCAGGCCTGTGATGGTCAAAGAGCTTTTGACCCACTTCTAGAGAATCACTCGAATGTACCACAATGAGTTTTTTGGACACAAAAAAAGAAAGACGGTCACAACACTTAATGCATTACAGAGGGGACACACACACACACACACACACACACACACACACACACACACACACACACATTAATGAGGACATGCAACCACACATGCATGCAGGCACTCAGACAGATACAAGCCGGGGCTGAAAAGTATCTGAAACAAGTCAACAAGCTCATTAGTGGCACCGACTGTTTGAGAAGTGCCGACCAGGGTTTATCAGCAGAGTCACGCACACATCTGGCTCATAATCCTCATGTAATTGTCGTCATGCAGAAAACAGACTGCAATTTATGTGAATTTCTCTAACACACAATATTTTACAAGTAAACTCTTGGAGGTGTTAACTGCACAGTATCACTCAATACCTCATGAATATTTCAACCATTGTTATGCGAGTCATTCATCCTTTTAAAGAGAAGCATCAGTAAAGAACTGTTAAGCTGTTTTTGAACTGTCTTATTGTAGTTTTCTATTTGCAGAAAAACGACAATATATTATCTTGATTACAGATAAAGGTATATAAAGCATGTTCCTCCTTTCTAGCGGGTGACTGTTGGTTTCTAAAGAGATTTTATTTTCCTCTACGGTAGCTCCGAATATCTGACAGCAATAATTTAAAATGTTGTTTTCCCTTATCAGTTATTGCTTCATCGCTCATAACTGCTGTGAAATCCAAATATTGAACTACAGATCGCACGACTGCATCATATTGAGCAGATAGTCATCTTCCTCTGACGTGACACCTTTTTCTCCACAGGTGGAATAGCTGCAAGCAGAACAAGCAGGCAGCCAACAACCGCGCGGCTACAAGCAACCAGATGGTGACGCCGGAGGGAGAGAAGCTGCACAGCGACAGCGGCATCTCGGTGGACAGTCAGAGTCTGCAGGAGCAGCAGCAGCAGCAGCAGGCCCAGGCTGAAGTTCAGGCTCAGCCTTCACGCTCACGCACACAGGAACAGATCGGTAAGCGGGAAACTCACTCTTCATTTCTTTTGAATCAGAATCTAATTTTCTTGTTTTCACGAGCATTCATTAGGCCTGGGGGACAATCCAATATTATTGTAGTGAATCAGGTTTAGTGGTTGTGCAATCATTTGCAAAACAGTTCTTTTTTTAGGTTTGTATATTAGATGTTTGAGAGGTTTTGTCTGATGTAATGATTAACATTGTACGATGCAATCAGAGCAGATGTTATTATTTTGCTCATATTCACCACATAAACCTAACAAAAGACACTCATCCAGGTCCGAGTACATTCCTCCTTCACACCATGATATATACTAGCTGTCATTATTGATTACATCAGGATACACTGCTGAGATTCTACTTGCTTCTCCAGCAGTGTGCAAGTCTTTTCCTCAGGGCAACACATTTCTGGGGACGGAGATCAAACACAAAATATACGACGTCGGAGCAGGATTCACATCCAGCAGCCGAGAGCGGCCAAATCTTACACGCATGATGGATTCAACTGAAGGAATGTAGAGATTATGATTTAGGGAGCTGGTCGTAACATGAATGTGAGGCGGACACTGAACATTAGTTTGGCTGTATGCCTCCTAATAACACATGTTGAGGTATACCATCAATATGAGGCTGAAGAATTCAGCGCTGACAGATGTTTGACAGAGTTTCTATATTAGTGTACAGAACATTTAAAGACCACGCAAGAGATGTTTGATCTATATGTGCCTTTACTACTCTCCCTACTCCTCTTTATCTATATTCGTCTCTCTTTGACTCGTGAAGTATTTCGGGTGGATGTCTGTGGGACTAACTTTGCGACGTAGTCTTGCAAGCCAGACAGAATCTAAAAGGTTACGCGAGATTAACTCTGTAAATAACGTCTGGCTCGTCGGGGTAAAAACAGCATTATGCACTTTGCTGATCTATTGTAAAGCAATTTACTATGATCTCAGTTTACTGCATCAAGAGAGAAAAGAATGATTAGATTCATTGCTTTTTAGAGGCAGTATGTGTTCTGCAAAATAATCCAATCTCTTGTGATTAATCATATAAAAAAAATAAATCGTATTGTCAACAAATCCCACAAAAAGAGTTAATACTGAAGGTCTTTCAGAAAATGGGCCGCAAATATATACTTTCATTTCGCAAAAAAAGACTATGTAGTTTCTGAACTGTAGTTTTTATAAAACGTTACTCAAACCGGAGGAAATAGTGCATTTGTTGGGGACTATATATTTCAGACCTATTAGCATCGCTCACACCGAGCACCAGCACACACACAAAAAGAAGCCGGGTGCATCATGTGGAGTCTGCACCGATACAAAAAGAGGATAACCTTTAACAGCTCTGAGAATAAAAGCGAGTGTGGCAGGAATGAGATGTGACCCCAGAGCAGTCTACCTTCCTTCAATACTCAAATAGCACTCACGTTAAAGAGATGAAACCAGCGCACTCACTCGATCTATACACGTAAACCTGAGAGGCTTTTTACCTGAAGAAGAAGTCTCAAGTTCGGTCATGATCTTGTTATTCATTCAGTCATTCATGCTTCTCTCCCAGACTTTCTCTCTCAGGATCTCTTGTGTTTCCTTCCCAGTCTTACTGTGAATTACACTAAAGCCTAAATATAGTTATACAGGGATAATAATGTGCTAACAAGCCAAACAGCTGATAAATCCTCCCTCTAACAATCCACATGACTGTGTCTTTTCAGGGATACCCATTACGTTCTAATGAGGCTTGGGAAAAGCTTATTTAGCTTTTGTGTTTTGTTTGAGTCCCTCTCTTCATTCTTCCATTCAAACAAATGAGAACCCCGCTGCACGTCTAAGAAAAGAAGGAATTTCTTTTGGAGGAACAAATCGGCCTCGTTTCAGTAAGAAGACGACTGCCCCTTTAACCCCCGTCGCCTCTCTAACCGATCGGCTTCATTAGCAGGTGCTACGAGACTGGATCCAGGACTGGTCTCGCTTCCTTTCAAAAGCTGATCCAGCGCCAGCGTTTAGCACGTGCTAATTGGCATTAGCACCGTCAGCGGCTGCGGAAGCCATTAAAAAAAAAAAGGGCAGCAAAAGCTCTCACGCTGGGGTCCGTTGGTTCTTCCACAACCAACTGGTTCTGATAAAATACGCGAGAGGGTGATAATATGCACAATAAATCCACGATAATCCCTGGGGGGGGGGGGGGGGTTTGCTGTTTCCAATGAACCATATTTTTACTGCCGACTAAACCAACGGTAACACGTCCAGTCAAAACAAATCAAATGAGCCTTTACAAAGAGAAACAGCAATGAAACTGTCCCTTGTTTCGACTGAGAGGGTATTCCCTGCATGACTCACTGGTGGGAGCTCCGGCGTGAAGGGTGCTCGGCCTCATTTCGGTCTGCTCATCTCCATTAAAAAGAACCGTCTATCTGTGCAGCACCCCTCCCCACCTGCTCCCCCCCCCCCCCCCCCCCCCCCCCCCCCCCCTGGATCGTGCATATTGAATGTGTTTAAAAATTAAACTCCGAGCCCTCGCTCAGATCACCCAGCCGTGCATCCCTGTCCTGAGTTTGACCCCCGCCGTCTACACAAAATGGAGTCGAGGCAATGTCAGTCAAACAACCAACTGAAGCAGGGTTATTGGCGAAATCTTGAATTTTCTCTTAGCTTTATAACTGGCTGAGAATCATTTTTCTCATGCATAAAACAGCTACATCGTGCATACTTTAGGCAACAGTGAAGGTACATCATATGAGTAAAGCAATTTATTATATTTAAACAGCAGAAGAGGAAAATAAATGAAGAAAATACATACATCTTTATATTTAAATGAACAAAACTAACAGAAAATACTGTGTTCAGTACTGTGTTCAATACGTCCCACAAAGTTAGGTAAATTGCCAGCGAGCGAAAGGGGGCTGAAGACTTTTATGTGTCTGTGCCCAGAGGGCCATTGATTTAAAATCTGGACATGGAATTTGAGGTTTGAATGGAAATGAAATAAAATAGGTTGTGCAATGAAGCTCTGTCCCCAACGAGCGATAAGTAAGGAAACAAAACAAGCAATATATTTTTCAAATTAGTAAAACAATCCCAATGTCTGTTAAGCTTGTGATCACCAAGAAATCATCTCAAATTAAATCCCAATCAGCAAATTTGAAAGCTTTTATCGGGGCTTAGGGTCCAATCAGGACTGCCTGAGTCCTCGGGCTGATTAAAAAAAAAAGAAAGAAAGAGAAGAAGAAGTCGGTAACAAAGCTTTGCTGGGAGTTCACATTTCAGAAACAGCTTGAGCTGGTTCGATGAAAGACAGCTTGTATTGATTCTTGGAATGAGGTCGGACTGAAAGACATCGGGCAGCAGCCATGTGGCCACTTTCATCAGCACTGCCTCCAATATGAGGTGCACTGCAATGAATGTAGCACTGAGGTAGAAGAGCAGGTGCAGGCCACTGTGCGAACGCCTGAGCTTGTGTGCGCGTTACAGATGGATGTGCACTGGCCAGCATCAGTGTCCTTCTGCTCTTTGTCACTGCTGACGCCTGTAGAGTGTCCGTTTAAACAGGAAGCAAGCGGGAGGAGTGCTATGGACTGTGGCCGTCACTGGACAGGATCTATTCGGATATATAAACAGCGGGCACAGAGGCAGCGTGTAGTAATCAAAGTGTGTTTTATACCACGGCAATGTGTGGGAAAAAAAGATGGGTTTTGAGGATGGGAAAGGGAAAGAAAACAGCAGGAGAGGGGGGGGGGGGCTATGACGTTATGAGTCGACAAAAGAACCCCCCTCTCTTAAAGAGTTAAAATAAACCCTCTTGTACTAGACTTCGCTGGCACAACGTGGCATTGATGAAGACGAGAGAACACCCACCGGACTCGGGGGTCCTCTCAGGAACGCCTCTGCATTCCCGAGGCGTTTCCATGGCTTCCCCCAATTGACAGCAGGTTAAGAGGTTTGTGGGAAATGAGGACATTTGTGTCCCACCCTCGTCCGGCTAATGACTCCGGTTTAGCAGGCTCAGATGAGTGAGTGACACCACAGGGCCCCCTGCAGGGAAAAGTGTGACTATAACGGGTTTCAGAGTTTCTCCATGCAGGAGGACAGTGTTTTGGTGGATAGGAGGTTATAATCTTTGTGGGCAGGGATTCAAATTAAAAACATTCAAAAGCTATTCAAGGTGCCCTAAATCAAAGGTCTTCTCATTTACTATAATGGAGCTGCTCAGTGGGAAACTGAAGAATTGAGAATATGCATAATTGTGTGAGTAAGAAAAAGGTCCATGCATAGAAATACAACTCGAGTAGAACAATTCTACATGGCTGGATGTTCGGAGCGGCAGCCATTTTTAAGTGCATTGCTAAGAACCCGTGACTGCATGGAGAGCCTAATGTGCACTTTCTCGGTTGCCTCGCAGCTAGAGAGGACATTTTATGAAAACGCTGACAGCAATCGCCATTTTCTTTTGAATTAGTCAAATGACCACGACTAACAGCTGAATGTCCGTTCTACTCTCGCTCTATTTCTATGGGCTCATTATGAAAATGAACCACCGCTGATTTAAATATCCCCACACATCCCCCGTGTACTCTTCCAGAGCCTGACATTTGTCTTCTCACTTTCTCTCCACAGTGGTGAGGGTGGATGGCGGCCCCCAGCCTGACACAGCTCCCCATGAAATCTGAGGAAGAGGAGGAGGCGTCAGAACTGAAGAAGGGGAGAGGAGAGTGGAGACTTGAACCGTGGACCAAACAGAAAGCCTTGGGGAGAGGGAGGGGGGGGGGGATTCATAACTGAAGTGGCCACAGAGCAAAGACTTGACTTGTATGGACCCCCCCGGCCCCAGCACCTTTGGGCCACAGTGTGACTCTTCATCCCTGCATATAGAGTTCAACTCTATCAATCAGTGTGTGCCTGGACACGACCACTCCGGCAATACCAACCACTATCTGCACCAACGTCGCTGCAGATACATAATCAGAGGTATATGCCGGTTCATCTCGTAGTAACGGACTACTCCAGCGCTAATATTGACACGACTCTCACTAACTGCCAACGTGGTTTTCAATCGTTACCATTTCCCCCTTAATTCCATAATCCATGAAATATATGTGCCTGAATGGTGAACAAGGCAGAAAGGTTCTCCATCATCTCTTTCTTTTTTCCTGTGCACCTTCCTCCTCATCTTCCTCTGTGGCGTACCACTCTCTGATAATCCTCCGTCTCTCTCCAGAGGATTCACTCCATTAGACCCCCCCGCCGCCGCCGCCGCCGTCGTCTGCGACACAAAAAGCAGCGGGGGAGCTGTGAGTCACCAACGTCTTCTGAAGTTCCTTGTTCTTTTGTCGTTTCGCCACCGACGCATTTCATGGCATGTTGTCTTGTAAAATGTTTGCGTCACTGTTTGAGATTGGCTGCACCGACCGATACAAGCGACTCACATTTGGGAAGAAAGGTCGATTGCTGTGCAGCCCGCTCGGTAATCAACTATTTCCTTCTTCCTGCACTCATCATAGACCCCATCGCAGCGACTCCAGGGATTGTCTTTCAGTAATTTCACGCTTATAATGTAACACGGCCCAATGTTTGTCTCCTGTTTGTGGTGCATTACTTTCATTTTGGGGCTCGAGTTACACTGCTGACTCAGCAGGGTGCCTCCACGGTCCTCTGTGGAGCCTGGATGTGCAACATGAGAGAAACATCTCTGGACTGTGGAGCTCTGCTGACTCACCGTGACGGTGTCCGAGGGGGAAGTGAATCAACGTTAAATCCGTTATACAGAGCTGCTCGTTAAACAGATGAATTCTGTACTGAAAAAAATGGGCAAACCGGAATCCCATCTGTCATTTCTTTATGCCCACTGAGGGGCAAATTGGGACACCCCTCAGAGGCAAACTCCTCTCACTATCCTCAGCTCACTGACACCACCACACTTCTAAACACTCACTGTTACAGTCTTGCATAAAGCTCTGTCTGCGTGATAAAGCCTGATAAACAGCGCTGAGGCCCTAATGCATCGTCAGGCGGCGCTCATGTCAACACGAGGGCCCATTAGAGAGACGTCCCGGCAGGCAGGTAGTAATTACCTCAGGGTTTCAGCTTCATTTACCCTCTGCTCGGATCAGCTCAGACACTTCTCATCGGGATTAACGCCGCGGACAACAGCCCTCTTTGAAGCCTCAGCATGACATTACGGACCTCTTATCCAAGTCCGAGGCCATTGACATTTACTGTATCTCCATGGCGATATAAAAGCACTTAGTTGCAAGGCAGGGTGGCACTTTTGATCACCACTTTTATGCTGCCTCCCTCTGCTTGCAGTAACTGTAAAAGCAGTCAACATAGATAGATGTCTTGTAAAAGAAGTATACTGTAGTTGAGTTCGACTGCACTGCTTTTGCAGCCATTCCGACAGGGGTACATACTTTTCTCAGGGTCCCTCTTGTTGTGGTGCGACTTTAAGGAGACCAACACACCTGTAGGGGGTTTCTGTAAACAACCTGCAGATGTACGATGGAGTAGGTAGGTAGGCAGGTACAGAGATAAAGCAGCCGTTGTGTAAGAACATGTAGAAAGATACGGGTGGATATGCTACTACGCAGATGACTTTCACTCTCTTCGTCAGACTTAGATCAGAAGATTAATAAAATAATCATATCCCATACAGTAAATATAAAGCTACTGCCAACAGCTTAGCTTAGCTCTGGTAAAGGAAGCAAATACGTGTTCAAACCAAGAGACAAGACGTGTCAGCAGAGCTTGTAGAGTTCAGTGAGCGATAGATAAGAAATGTCATGAAGACAGAAAGTGAGTCATTCTATCCTGTGTGATGCTGCATGCATCGGTCACATGGTCGCCAACATCTCAAGTCAGTTAAAATAAAAAAAACGCTGCTGTTCTTTTGCTCACAGATCCTCCGTTGATGTGGGCATGTGACCACACACACACACACACACACACACACACACACACACACCGACAGTATGATTCACTCCTCTGCTGAGAGAGCTGGTGTGATTTATCCTGATCATAGCTGTGGCAGCTTTACATTAAAAGCAGACGCTTCCACAGTTTAAGTGACCCGAGTGTTGATTCAAAGAAAAAAAAAAAAAACTCCTCGACTCCCGTCTCCCCACGAGGTCCGATCGACCCTCGAGCAGCCCACTCATCCACCCAAAACAGACTTATTCTCTTTCTCCTGCAACTCGTGAAGTGAGAAACACAATGAAAGAATGTACGACCCCAATATAAACAGAAATATGCAAGACACATTCAAGGATGAGGTTTGGGTTTGCCCTCACTCTGTTGTTGTACATTTGTCTTTACGTTTTCCTGTCGGGTTGTATTATGAATAGTATTACACTTCTTAGAGTATTTTTTCTAACTGATATGTTATTTTGTAGCACTTACTAGAAGTAATATGAATGCACTCAAAGAGTGTGCCACAGTTCAAGTGCCTGTGTACAGTGTCAGGTGTCTTTAAGTTCAGAAGTATGATTATATATTTTTTTGCAGTTTTTTTCACTTATACTATGATTTTGTGTGTATTTTTGATGAAGGTTTTTAGTAAGTCAGACGACCTTAGGAGACTCAAGCAAACTGTATAAACCTGGCACCAATGTTAAGAGACTTATACACACAGGTTGCCAATGAAGACATGCTGTGTGTTGACATGCTATAAATACTGGCAACTAATAGGGTCATGTAGCATGACAACAACATACACATGTCAGCTGAGACTCCTGCTACAAAACTCACATACGCTATTAGTCAATAGGAATCAGCTCTACTGTGCAGAGGTTTTTGCATGTACAGTGAGTTTCATTATGTACCTCCATTTCAGAGGCTACCACACATGTAATCTGCCGTAACATGAGATCTATGGGGAGGTTGGCTGATACAGATGGATGAGCACCTGCTCCCGAAAATGCTGAATGTCACTTGTACTTACCTACTAATGTAAAATGCATTGTGTAAATGTGAATTTCTTAGAGTTGATACAAGATACAGAAATACACGATAAAATGTAAAAAAAACTAAACAAAAATGTGTGCAAATGAGATGAGCATCTATAATACAATAAACAGAGATGTCATCGCATTATGTGTCCAGTTTGTCTTTGTAGCTAAACTAAGACTGATGTTAAATGTGTTGAAGGAATGATTCAACGTCAGCGGTGGAAGTATTCAGAAGTGAAAGTACTACTACCACACTGTGAAAATACTACCAGTTAAAGTCCTGCATTTATAACCTTACTTAATTCAAAATATTTAAGTATTATCAGCAACATGTACTTAAAGTATCAGTAAAGAACTCTTTGGACAGTAAAATGTCCCCCGTTGGTGTTTTATTAATATAAATGTTTCCGGATCAATTTTACTGATGCATTAATGTGTATGTTGCGTTTTACTGCTGTTGATGTTTATAGTTGTGGTAATGTTAACTGCACTATATATTGTTGAGTGGTTTAATCTACAGCAATTCATAATTTTCTGTAAGATCATCATGTTTGTAGCGTCGCTGTGCCACGTATCTCTAAAAAAGGAAAACAGCTGTTTTCAGCTTTGTGACGATGCATTTTCCAGCGGATCCAAGAGGCTTTTTAAAGTAGTTTATTCAGCTTAAGAAGTTGGAAGATTTTCTCAACTTCATCCTTCAGTTTATCACAAACATTCAACAGCAGCACATGTGAAGAGATGTGGTTTTCACTCGACAGGAAGGGGATGAAAAACTGTAACGTGAGAGGTAACTAAAGCCTACAGATAAATACAGTGGAGTATAAAAGTCCAATATTTGTCTCTGAGATGTAGTAGAGTAGAAGTAGAAAGTTGCATACAATGGAAATACTCAAGTAAAGTACAAGTAACAAAAATATGTACTCAAGTACAGTACTTGAGTAAATGTACTTAAGTTACATTCAACCGCTGTTCAACATTTTTGGGAAATATGCTGATTCACTTTCTTGCTAAGAGTTAGATGAGAAGATTGATACGCTTGAGTAAATATGAAGCAACAGCCAACAATGAATTAGCTTAGCTTAGCTTAAAGACTGGAATCAGCTCCTCTAAAGGTCACTAATAAACACATTATTTATCATGTGATGAATCGCTAAATGAACCCAAGATTAAAATTTTAGTTTTTCTCATTTTACAGGCGGTTTTGAGCCGGGCATTTTCTTGGCCAGGACTATTGACTTCCTGGAGTCTCCACTTGTTTCTTTGTAATCTAACAGTGAAACAAGTCTGAAGAAATCCAGCATATGAATCCCAAATTACATGTTTTTTACTTTATAGATGATTTTTTAGGCTGATTTTGTTACCTTTGCAGAGAGGCAGGCTAGCCGTTTACCCACGCTTCCAGTATTTATGCTAGGCTAAGCTAACTGGGTGCTGGAGGCTTCATATTTGACCGTACAAACATGTGTGGTATACATCTTCTCTTATATGTCTTGGCAAGAGAGCACATAAGTACATATCGCAAAAACGTCAAATCATTCCTATTTCTTCAATTCAAGATCGGGATTTAGATACTTGAAGACATCTCAGGAGGGTTAGAGAAACCTCAGTGAGCTTGTACTCAGAGAGATAAAACATTTTAAATTATTCAAATTATTCCCAGAGTTGACTGTACAGACTTCAAAATCCCTCCAGGGAAAGTCCATAAGGCGTTTCGCAGACTTAATGTTGGCTATAGAAATGCACTTTTAGTTCCCCCCCCCCCTTTTTACAAAAACACCCAAAAGCATTTGTGAAAATTACCTCAAGCAAATGAAAGTAAGCAGCCAAACCACAGTCAAAAGCAGCACCATATGTGCGCCCATTGGACCCGGAGTGTGGTTCCCCTGCAGTCTTATCACCACTTTAACATGCTGGGCTCCGAAGGGGCTTTTTCTACTTGCTACGTGTCAGAGATGAATCCTCAGCGATACAATCCTCCACATGTAACAGAAAGGACACGAGAGGAGGGAAGTAACCTAAGACAGCACAATCCTGTGGAAAAACACGAGTTTTAAAAACAGCACTTCAATTTTTACTTCACTGATTTTGTGGACAAGTTAGTCTGCGGAAACAAAACAAAATCAGCAGTGTGAAATGTCTCTGTACAGCTCCCCCCCCCCCCCCAGACTGGTTTCTATATGAGGGCCTGAATGCAGAGAAGCACACTGAGATTGGTGTGACAGATAGACTGCAGAATTTTAATTTGATCAGCAGGGAGCACTTATATGGAGACACTAATCAAACTACGTTTCCCCCCTCTGTCAAGATTAATCAAGAGTGCAAGAAAGCTGAAAAGGCAGAAGAAAAAAAAAAGTCTGAAATAGATAAAAGGAAACAGGCATGCCCATTGTGGAACAAGCGGAGACGCATTAAAATATGCTCGGTGCGATAAAACTCAAACACGACTCAACCCATAAAGAAACGTCAGCTTCGGCTAAAAGAAGATGGATGCTGTTTTGTGCGCTCCTTTGTTAATAGATGCTTTTATTGGCGATTTAAAATCAATAAATTGTTGCTCGATTCAGTCCAAGACACCAGAAAAGTTACATGAACCAAAGTATTGCCAAGAGGGGTGACAGCCTCCATCAGCAACTGCTGCACAGATATTTACACGGTGCAACATTGTGTCCCAAAGACGGAAACACAGGAAGACATTTTTAAATGAACACTCTTTATCTTTTCAGTGTCACATACTCAGGTTTGAATGGTGTGCCACTTCATGGAGGACTACAGCTGTATTCAGCTGACATCAAAGCAAAGGAAGAGGCTTGTCTTCTCCATAAAAACGACATCATTGTTCGAAAGCCTGAAATCACCATGTTTACATTCACCTGATAAAACCTTTGTTTGGCTGAGCAAAGACGGAAGTAGCACGATAACGCTGCATGGCTGGATGGATGGGTAACAAAGTATCTGATTCGAACATGTGCAACAGCTGTTCACATCCTGTCTCCAATTAAAAGACGTTGCACATGTCTTCCGCTCTGTATTTGCCACAAACTTTCAGCCATCTTGCCTTGATCCTGCCTAAAACAAGATAAAAGCCTTTCGTTTGCCCACGTGCCATATTTACTACTTAAAAGACAGTATTCACAGTAAGCATTCCTTCAACACCCAACTTTATTCCAGTTCTAATATAAAAACAGCATCGACTTCACGGCTTAACCCTACAGTCTCTGAGTGCATATGGGCTGTTATTAGTTCTTCTAATCCATCCTTTTTCTCTTTAAAATAACTGAAGGGACAACGGGGAGGAGGGAGAAATAGTTACATCCCCAGTGACAGGAAGCACCAGGATTTATGGGAAATGTGGCTCTCATTTTCAAAACATAAAACAGTACATGTCGCACCTCCAACTCTGAGTTCTTGAGTGCAATCAAAGCAGGTTGGACGAAAATCAAAACGTGGAAACACTAACGCACATCTCTGCATCAGTCGGTCGGATCTACATCTGCACGCAATGTGAGCTGGCGCACTGAGGGAGGATATTTAGGAAAGGAATTTGGTGGAGGAAGAAGTAAATCTGTCCTTCAATGTGTTTCAAATGGCTGAACTCCTCACTGTGGTATCAAAACACCTGACAAATAAATATACAAGACACCGAGGAGTAAAACACCACACGCACACACACACACACACACCTAACTGGAAACATGGGGCCATTTCTACCAAGATCTCTGCTATGTTTCAGTGTTTATCCGTGTTTATACACGTCTCTGTAGGGTGAGAAATGAGTGTGGGAGACCTTGGATCATGTGGGACACATGAGGAAACCATCCGGCACAGCAGCAGTTAACACATAAGCAGATCAACCAATCCACCCCTGGCCTCTCCCATCTGTCTGTATCCCACGTAGAAATGAGAGGACCACCCCGTCCCTATACTCACTTGGTTTTATGTATAAAGACAGAGGAACAAGAGTCAGAAAAAAAGGTGGAAATAAGACCTGAGAGTGATGGCGGCCAGCTGTGGGAACCCTCATCCTGTAACACCTCACTCTGGTGGATAACCCGACCCACCAAGTCAAACACACCCAACCACAAACCCGTCATCAGTCAGACTTATTCTAATTTATCACGTTGCACTTGTTGCTGCGGGACTTGTGATGAACCTCAGCTGGATATGAAGTTAAAAAGAAGAGAGAGTCTTTTGTCTCCGTGTGGAAATGTGAACCTCTGTGTATCACACAGCTCCACATACAGTGCATCTTGTGCTCTGTACACCTTTGCAATAGAAAAGGTAAATATATATTCGGCTGTATGAAGTTATGCTCTTTTAATGACAAGTAACCAGCCAGAAAGAAAGACTTCATAAATAACCCTTTTTTGCCGCAGTTCATTTATTCATATTTGTATAACTCTCTATTTTTAGAAAGAAAAAACGAAACTGAAATATGCTTCTGTTCAGCAACTCAATGAATTTCCATGCATGGATCTGGTTTGCTTATTTCCTGCTCTGCTATAAAGTAGTGTGGACAACATAGTTGACTCAGTGGGACTCAGTTGGCCCACATCCATTACTCGACTGTCGCCTTGTATCAAGATAGAGATGAATAATTTCAGGGCAGGGTTACATTTTCTCTTCCCAATAACAGTCTCTCTAACACAGAGAGAAACATGAAAATGGGACTGTAATGTATGCACACACTGCACTTTATGCCCAGTACAATTTGTTTTTAAAAAAATGTGGTAGAATATATTGTTACACAGTACAAAAAACAAGGCAGGAAGTAACAATGTGTGCCATTGCAATGAGAAAGTAAACAGAAATAATTGATAAAAATAAACTCAGTGATTCACATTTCAAAGAAACAATACGTGAGAAATAAAAAAGCATATTTTGCAGCAAAAGGTAACAATATTGAGGGCTACCTTTGAATGAATTGAACGAATTTACACTTCAAAGAATAATTTTCATGTTGATGGTCTTTTTACAATGATTTTGCCCATTTCCACAATGGTAGCCAACAGGAGAATTATGCAATGGTTTTCTGTGTAACAATTTATTCCACTTTCAAAATATCATCACGTCATCATTTTATTCTTTTAGACATTTGTGTGAAATTGTCATAATTAGCATATGAAGGAAGGAAATTCCCTCAAG